CGCCTCCTGCAGCCGAGCCCCCCGCGGAGCCTGCGCGTTGGGCGGCGCTGGGGCCACCCAGGAGGGCTTTCCGCTGCCTCTTTCCAGTCCTTCCCGGCTTGGATGTTTCCGCCAGAGTTTTGACCATTTCATTTAGTATTTTTAATTTTAGAATAATTTCTGACTCGGAAAGTCACAAAAATAATATGGATGTCAGGTGCCAGTGGCACACACCTCTGTAATCCCTGCTTCTTGGAAGGCTGAGGCAGGAGTATCAGAAGTTCCAGGCCAGCGTGAGCAACTGAGACCTTGCTCAAAGTAACCTTTTCAAAAGGGCTGGAGGTGTAGCTCACAGACATCATCACTCCTGGGTTCAATCCCACAAACAGTGTGGAATTCTGGTCTAGCCTCGCCCAGGTTCTCCCAGTGACGACATGGAACACAGCAGGAGTACCTTGTCAAAATCTGAAAACTGATGTGGGGCATCATACTACAGGCTTGGTTTGGATATGTGTATGTGTGTGTGTGTGTGTGTATCTGAAATTTGAGAGATGTATAGATTCACATAACTACCACGTCCCCCTGTTTTAACCAAATCAATTCTTGAAATCAACCTACTTTTAAAAGTTAACTCGTTTTGCCTCATTTTAAGCAAAATCCTTGAAATTATAGATTTGATGTATATATTTTTTTCTTATACACATTGAATATGCAACCACATCATCATGAGAGAACTGTCTAAAATCCTCTCAGTGCAGCCAGTGACAGGCAAACATGGATTTAGTCCACCTGTTCCATTGAAAAGGTGGAGGAGCTGAGGCTCAGAGGAGGGAAGGGACTTGCTGGTGAGACCTGGAGTGGGGCTGAACCAGGACTTGTGTCACACGTTGGTGTTCCTTTTACTGCTTCACCCCTCCTCTGCCTTCAGGACGGAAGCCCCTTCCTCCTCCTCCACCAGCTTCACTCATTTCAGCCAGCAGTTCATTTCTGTGCCATTTGTTCAAAAGCCCTGGCAGCTGCTTGCCCTTAACATGTTTGTTCAAATGGATTAAATGGCCAGAGTTTCTGAGAACTATTTCCACACTTGGGTGATAACTATTCTGCCCCCTCTGGAAGGACCCAGGTAGTAGCAACCCAGGTGGTTAACTGTCCCCAACAAACAAATGTGCTGGGCACCTACTGGGGATCCACACAGACAGATCAACAGAACCCATGGCCTGCTGGGGGGATGATCAGGCAGGCAAGGTCAAGGTGAGGCCAGGGCAGGTGTGCCGGAGCATGGGACAGATGTGGGTTACCTTGTGCATATGATCAGAAAGGTATGTTCCCATTGAAACCCGAGGACCCAGTAGAAGATGTCTAGGACAAGAATGAGGAAGAAGCCTTCCAGGCTAGGAAATAGCTCTGCTAAGACTCTGGAGAGGCCGACAGTGAGGTGCCTGAGGAGAACTGGGAGGAGGCTTGATGGGAAGTACAAAGGGAACCAGGGGAGAAGGCCCTGGGACAGCCTGCTCTTAGGGTGCTGTCCCTCCAGGTGCCCCCCCACAACACCTTCCCCCCCTCATGCCTCTGCTCATGGGGACTCCAGCAGATGCCAGATGGGGCAGGGGCTAGGTCCCAGTTTGAAGGCCTGTTTGGCAGGGTGCAATGGAGAAAGAAGGCCCATGTCTGGCAGCTGTGGCAGCCAGGGCCCCTGGGGGTACTAAGTGCTTCTGTCTGCCCTGTGCCCACAGACCATGCTGGAGCAGCTCCTGATCTACCAACCTGAGGACCCCATCTCCTTCTTGATCAAGCACTTACAGCGCGACAATGATAATGGTGAGCACTCAGTGTGCAGGCCCCTGCTCCTCCAGAGCCCCTGCCTGACCCTGGCCATAAGAGGAGCCAATCTGTCCTACTTGTGTTTGAAAGGAATTGGAGCAGGGTGAGGAGGAGCTTTGACAACTTGAGGTGGTTAATTGAAAAATGCCTTCGTTTCTTTTGGAACGCAACTAATAAAAATTCTCTTGCCAAGTTATTAAAATGCAAACCTCAGAATGGCCCACGGAATCAATTATTAATGCCTCTGCCTGCCCTAGCTGATGTCGCCTGTTGGGTTTAAGCTCTCTGATCAGTCCTCTTGTCAGGTGTGTTTGGTTTCTGGTCTACCTAGACAGGCGAGCACTGGGCTTTTCAGACGGTCTCATTATCAGTGCCAGCTAATGAGTTCCAGAGCTCCCCAAGCCTTGGCCAGGTGCAGGTCAGCCAGACCCCAGGACAGAGTACAGAACCAGGAGGAGGGGCAAGGGAGGCCCTGGAGCAAGCAGACCCGTCACTCCAAGGTGCCTTGGGCCGATTTGCCAGGTGGAGGATTGAGCTGTCAGGGAAAACCAGCGTATTGGAGCTTTGATAACTCACCAGAGCATGGCTGCTTTGAGGAGTCAGTGCTGGTGTGGCTGAAAGGGACAAGGCCTAAGGTGCCTGAGGTGAGTCTCAGACAGCCTCAGGTGAGGAGCAGCACAGGTTATTGGAGGGGGAAGGGGGCTCATGTCTGCAGTGACCCATGGTCTCAGGCTGGGCTGTGGCACATCAGAGGAACGTGCTTCTTAGACCCCCTGCCATTGCGTAGATCTCTGCCCTGGGTTCAAAGAAAGCCCCACAGTGCCCTTTTCTGAGTTTGCAGGTGGGCACAGGTGGCTGAGCATTGGCTCACCCAGCTGGGGTTGATGAGCGCCCATATGCCCAGGTGGAGGCAGAGCCATGATGGGGGCCGCCCACCAGTCTTCCCGGCAACCTCACTGCCAACTGGCCAGACCTGGCTCACTGTGCCCTACAGCGACTCTCCTGGGAGGCCTGTTCCCTGAGGGTTGTCATGTGGGGCGAGAGGCTCCTCCGAAGCCTCAAAGCAGCCTTGCTTCATTTTCAGAGGGAAAGTTTCTGCCTTCCTCTTCCCAGTCCTGAGGCAGAGCTGGAGCTGCACGGCTGGACCTGCACGGCTGAGCTCCACCTGTTACTCTAGGGCCGCTGGCAGTGGCAAAGGAGGCAGAGGGACAGTGAATTCAAGAGGCAGACCAAGGTGGGAGTAAAAGCAAAGTGAAACTCAAAGGGGAAGGGAAGCAGTGGCCAGGCTGAGGCAAGAGAGGGCCCAAGCGCAGCCCAGGAGGCAGGGAGCCTCCACAGCCCTACCCACCCGAGAAGGTCACTGTCTCCAGAGTAGGAAGTGACAGTGGGGTCCTTGCCCAGGCTTGGTGCCAGTCTCCCTCTCTGCAAGCGGGGCCATGAAGCCTGGCCTATTCCTTGGTGGCCAGTGATGGCTGAGGGGATGACAAGCCCACTTGCCCCTGTGGGGGACAGGGGCTTGGCAATTGTGATGTTCAGCTTTTTGTTGGTGAAGAGCTTAATGAGATTTTTGTAAATTAAAAGCTGTGCTTGGTGACAAAGGCCTGGGGTTGTGCTGGCACTTCCTACCTATCTTGCCAGGCGCCCGCAGGCCCTGCTCTGTGTGCTGAAGCCACTGACCTCCAGGCTTCACTGGGCTCTGGCCTAGGAGCTTGAGAGTCTGACCCGGAGGCCATCTTCTCCTCACGTTCCCACCTTGCTGCTCTGCCTGGGGATTTGTTTTGGTGTCACACTGACCAGAGCATCAGGATTTTGAAGTCACAATATCATTCTGGTTTGGATGCAGCTGGTGTTGGCTGGAGAACCACCTCCTCTCTTTAGGACGGCCCCCTTGTCACCCCGTCATTGCAGGGCTTGTGCCTTTCCAAAGGCTGCCCTCCACGGAGCTGCTCCTTCCTCCTGTTTGCCTTCGCTCTCAGGCAGGGAGAAGAGTCCAGACCCGCTCCTTAGCTCCCAGCCACGGGTGCCTTCCGTCCGCCCTCAAAGCTTTCCAGCCCAAGGGCTCCCAGGTGTGGTCACTGGGTCCTGGTAGTTTTGTTTTGGGGGTTAGCTTGTTCCTTCAGCCTTGCACCCCACCCCCAGGCCTTGGACTGGCAGCTTTTGTGGATATGGGGACATTCTGTCCACAGGCTTCCCTCCCCTTGCTCTGGCCCCTCACAGGTGAAGCACAGCCTATGTCAACCTGTCTAGTTCAAATTATTGAAAAACAAAAGGTAAATTCAATTATATAGGATCAAAAGATGCTACCCCTAACCTATCAAAAGTAAAAAATGCCAATTTTTAAATTTTCATTTTTTGTTTTCAATTATGTGGGGAAATTACCATAAATTAAAAATATTCTGGAGCCTTCATAGAATAGTTTACCACACTGTTCTAGGGAGGGTGGGGCACAAATTGCTTTTGTGGCTTTTCTAGGAGTTGCCTAGAGCCAGTTCAAGCCAATCTTATTGTGTTCTAGAAGACTGCTGAGGCTCGGTGAGGTCATGTGACACTCAACAAATATTTCCAGTGTCCTGGGTAGTTAAGGGATTGGCATATCTCCTTCCAGCCACACGGTGGCCTGAGTTAACTGGAGCCAGGCCCTCAACCCTCTGCAAGGTCAACTTGAACACAGGCAACACTGGCCACGGCTGGGGGAGCGGAGCGGAGCGCAGCTCTGGACTCACTCTGCCCGAGAGCCAGCGTGCAGGAGGGTGGGGAGGGAGCCACAGCAGGGCTGGCAGCCCCTTCTCCACGAGCAGAGCAGATTTAGTACAAAGTGAGCATTTACAGTGGCCCTGGGCAATATTAGAGCCGGCGCTGGTGAAGGTAATGGTGTGTTTCGTCTCCTATCAAACGTTTGTCCAGGAAAGCTGTGTATTAAGCTCAATACCTAAGGGGTTCCTGTGAATTTTAAATCATGCTCCTAGTTAAACCTCAAAAGGCTCTGTGGATGGAAAGGTTCTTTGATTTCCTTTGAAGTGGTTGGAGGAAGTTGATTACTCTTGGCAGTCAAGCAGCCTTTTATGACACTGTTTATAAATAATTACTTATGAGCAGGCTGGAGCTTCAAGGTGTTAGATTTTAAGAACTGAAATTAATCACATAAATGAGTGTGAGAAATTAGGTGGGGGAAAGGCCGCGGACGTTCCCCTGTTAAAGCATTTTTATAGATGTGTACAATTTGGGAGCCACTTACAGAAACCCGGAGGGGGGTCCCCTGGTGTCATGGGCCCAGGAACTTTGCCAGAACAAATGCAGCACGTGGGAGTCGGACTGGTCCAGAATGCCCTTGGTGCCGTGCACTGCCCTTCCTCTCAGGCGCCACCAGCCCTGAGCCCAGCCGGGTCTGGCCAGTGTTCTGGGGCACAGCAGAGCCTGTGCTGGGAGCCCCTTTAGGGCACCGGGCACACTCTGTGGCCCCAGGGCCAAGCCAGCACCCTCCTGGCCTGAGCAAGGCTTCACTTCATGGCATGAGGCCTCCTGCCTTTGTCCACCTCCCAAAGCCACCTCATTTCTAACCAGACCCTCAAGTGTGTTCCCCACTGCCGAGGCTTTCTCACCCACGGTGAGGGCCCTGCAAGGGCCAGAGAGAGAATGGGCCCCCGAGTCCCTGTCCTGGCCCCACCCCAGATGCTGGAAGGCCTTCTGGGCTTCTGTGATGGCTGAGGCCTGGGCCTGTGGCCTCAGCTGCCCTGGTCACATGAGCCTCTCCCTGGTGTCTCCACCAGGCCTGGTTCCTGGGCAGCAGTGGCAGAGTGGAGCCTGTGGCTCGCCTACCCACGTCAGAGTGTCATGGGCACAAGCTGCAGTGTGTGGTGCCTGGCCCAGCCATGCTCGTACCCCTGATCGCTTGGTGGCCTTACTTGGCGGGCAGCCCCGGGCCTGCTCCCAGCCTGTGCGGGACTCTCCCAGCCACATTGGTCTTTTCTGCTTGACTCACATCTGGCTCCTCAGCTTGTTCCAAGGATGCAGGTTGGAGAGGGAGCTCTCTGTCAGATGGCAGTAATGGTGGTGACAAGGGTGGTGGATACTTGGTGATCACAGCCAGCCAGCCAAGGGGCCCCCCATGGGTGCTGCAGTGGGAGTGGCAAAAGAGATGAGCCTTGGTACCTGCCCGCAGGGCCGTGGTGTTTCTGCTGTGAGATGAAGCTCTCCAAGGTGGAGGTGGCCCTGCACACTACGTGGTCGAGAGCCCCAACAGGAGACCCAGGAGGAGAGGAGGAGACAGCAGGAGTAAGGAGGACATTCCTGATAGGGCAGCGACAAGTGACAAGACAGGACTATGAAGGGACATCTAGAGGAAGAACGAGAAAGGCCCAGAGGCCCCAACTCAAGGAGGGACTGATTCTTTGCCCCAGCTAGATGAGGCTCTGGATGGCAGGGCCACCCTTCTGGAGGACCTGCCTCCGAGGATCCAGGGGCACTAAAGGCACAGAGGGACTTTTGGCCAGAAGCCTATTGGCAGCAGTCTGGGCAGGAAGTGCTCCAACCCAAGCTGACTTGGAAAGAAGAGTGTCTGCGGTGGTTTGCTGAGTACTCCTGGCACCCAGTACTCCTGGGCAAGGGCCAGGCTGGAGGAGGTACTCGGCTGCCCTGTGCCTGCCTCCCATGCCCCTCGTTCACACTGCCACCAGCAGGAAGGGCTGTGGGCTTTGAGAAGCAGTCACCTCTATTCCAACATCAAGGCCTGGCAGGCAGCCTTATAAACAGAGTCGTAGAGAACCTCAGAGGGTTACAGCAGTTTGTTAGGGACCCGTAAAATCCAGGTGGCAGCAGAAAGCCGTGCGCTGGGGAGAGAGCACTTCCCTTGCTGGAGACCAGAGACCAGAGGCTGCAGGTCAGCCCCGTGCCCAGCTGACTGGCCACCTGGAGCCATCCAGCCTGCTCTTCTCAGCAGCCTCCAGCCAGCGTGAAGAGTGCTCTGGAGCTTGTGCCGGGGGTCAGTGAATCGCCTTGAACTTGCCACCTTTTCCCTGAAAATGAAAGTGCTGTGTGAATTTGGGCAAAACTCTGTTTAAAGCCAGGCAGCTGGCAGGGCATGGTAGTGCTGACCATTAAATTGCTGTCCAAGAGGACAGTACCTGGCCCCTTCACTGTCTGTCCCCAAAGTAGGTCAAACACATCCCTCTGCATGGTTGAGGTTCCTTCCGCTGGCCTGGCAGGACTGGGCTCTCCGGGCAGACAGTGACCTGTGCCCACACAAGCAGGGCCTGATAAGACGACTCTTTTCCCACAAGTGGGGGGAGGCCACGTAACCAAGATGGCGCTCAGCAAGAGGCTACTGCAGGTTTGTCTGTCCAGACACAGCGTGCTGTTTCCGCATCTTGACCCCACGCACGTGCCTGCTGCTCCCCCCAATGGTGGTCTTCACGCGTGCTCTTCAGCACATGCTCCCTGTGTGGAAACCGCTTCGGGAGTCCTGCGGGGCCAAGAACATTCCAGAGGCAGGGCTGTGGTGACACATGAGCTGCCAGTGTCTTCCATTTGCATAGAAATGCTCATATTTGAAACAAAGACTTTCCCGTCTCAGGTTTTATAAATCTGGCCCAGGCGTCCCAGGCTTTTTTCCATTATTTTCCTCTATAAAATGGCGGGAATACAATTTGCTAAGTAAAAAGGCATAAATATAAAAAGAGCTTCGAAGGTCGATTTACATAAAATACGACTTTGAGAGAGTGTCCCTGAGACAAAGTCCCTGTTTAAAATGCTTTATGGTGTTTGAAATCCCAATTGTTCTTGATATTTATTAGTTTGGCAAACAAGTTGCTGTGTCCACGTCCCCATGGAGATAGAAAAATAAACCATCTCAGTGATCACTTACCTTTCTAAACACAGAGAATATGTTCTATGGTGCGAGCGTCTCCGAGCCACCGGGTTACAAATGGCCGTGTCACTGGCAGAAATGAAATCTGGGGAGGAGGGAGATAAATACACCCAGCACACCGTGGGCATGGGAGGCTGCTTGTCTTCCTGAGCGGTGACATCCAGGTCTTTTTATTCCACAGTGCCGAAGATTGTGATATTAGGTCCGCCCGCCTCGGGGAAAACAACTATCGTAAGTGTATCATATTAAATGTTGGGGCGCCGTGATCACTCATTTGTGCTCCAGCAGGAAGGAGCCCAGACCTCAGTGAGCTGTCAGCAGAGCAGCAGAGCAGGGCCGTTCCTCTTCTTTGCCTCTCTTCCTTCTTGTTTCCTTGTTACCAAGCCTATGTGTGATCCTGGTAGAAAACCTAGAAAAACCCCAAATACCCTTCCCCTTCACCCAGAGACAAGAGACTTCAACACTGGGGATGCACCTTCTGGAGTCTTGTCATGCCTACATGAATGGGATCTTTTTATTTTAAAAATATTGTTAGTTGTAGGGGGACACAATAACTTTATTTTATTTATTTATCTTTATGTGGTGCTGAGGATGGAACCCAGGGCCTCCTATATGTGAGGCAAGTGCTCCACCATTGAGCCAGCACCCCAGCTCCTTGAGTGCTACCTTTGCACACCCTTAACTGGAGCCTAGGAGACATCTCAAGAAGTTAGAGTGTTTGGTCTTAAGATTCAGCCTTAAAATTTTGATTATGAAATATTTTGAATAATCAGAAAAGCACAAAACTAGATTATAGTTATTCATGTGCCCGACTCCCAGATCTCACCCATGCTTCTCATTTTGCTCTTTTCTTTGGTCTTTCTCCATTTTAAGGAGACTGCTTTGAAGATGCAGGAAACAGCTCAGCCCTCCTCACTCCTCTGTGACTCCTCCCCCCAGGCAAAGGCTGACCAGGAGCTGCTATGGGGATTGAACTCAGGAGCACTTGACCCCTGAGCCACATCCCAGCCCTATTTTGTATTTTATGTAGAGACAGGATCTCACTGAGTTGCTTAGTGCCTCACAGTTGCTGAGGCTGGCTTTGAACTCGTGATCCTCCTGCCTCAGCCTCCCAAGCTGTTAGGATTATACAGGCATACACCGTTACACCTGGCTCCTTTTTTTAAGTGCCACCAACATGTCAAAATTTGAGTCTTTCTGCCTTCTAAAATCTTGTTGGCGGACAGCAATGATCCTTCCCCAGTGACCAAGTCACTGCTCTGCACACTCCTTGTGGACTAGAATCGTGGGGCAGCCTGTTCCCAATTAACTGACATCTTTATTCCTAAAAGGAACCGAGCTGGCTCTTTACACAGAGCACACTGCATCTGCTGTGCCTTTGGAGTTGTGTAGCTGATGCTTCTGTCCACCTGTCAACTTCCCTCTGTCTGTCTCGGACTCCTCAGCATGGGGCTGCCAGCTGCACTCCTGTCCACAGCCAGCTCCCCAGAACCCAGCCTCTCTCGCTGTTTTGCTTTAGAAACGGGGGGCTTCCAGGCCCATGGGTCGTCAGCATTACCAGGGTGCTTTGAAAAATGCCAGTTCCTGGGCTTCTCTACAGATCGACCTCATCAGAATCTCCCAGGACAGGGCTCAGAAAACCAGTTGGAAAGGCTCCCTTGGCAGATTGTGACACAGGGACCTTGAATGGCAGTCTGCGTTAGACAGACATGGCACCTATTTACTGAGCTGGGTGGTCAAGGAGGGTCTAGATGCTCAGGGGAGGGTCTCCCTTTGGGAAAGGGCTTTTGTTCTGCTACCGTCAGGGCCATCTTTGCCTTGCTCAGGCTCCTCTCTGATCACTAGGAGGGACTTGCCGGTCAGAGCAGCCTGGAGCACAGAGACCTTCCTTTGTCAGGTCCCTGCAAGGTTGAGGTCATCGAGTTTGTCCCCTGAAGAAGCAGGTTCTAGAAGCTGGAAGCTGGTATTGAAGCTCACACCTCAGGGTGAACTCACCACGCTCTCCCTGAGCCTGTGTGGGGACGCAGACTCGGTGTTTCCAGCGTAAGGCCCAGACAGGGCTCTTCCCACTGCTGACCCTGATGCGTCCTGTAGCAGGAGGAGCAGGGAGAGTTAAGGCCACACGGCCCAGGTGCTGAAATGGCCACCAGCTGAGAACATTTCACTGCCTTGTTAGGCCGTAAACGTGTCCCCTCTGGTAGACTGCACAGGGCAGTCATCAATGAACTAAAGTCGGTTCACTGATGCCCCAAGTTTAAGAAAGAAATGAATAATGAGTGTGGCTTGTGACCGTATTTCTGTCTCCACCTTTCCTGGCCTAACCCTTCCTTGAATTAAAAACCTGTGGTCCACAGAGCTTGGAGAGGCAGGCCCAGGGCGGGAGGCCCAGGGCAGGGAGATTCCCCACCTCCTGAGAGCCTGGGGCTGGCGGAGCAGGTGCCGACAGGCAGAAATCAGGCTGGGAGGGACTTTGCAGGTTGGCCTTCCCGTGGGGTCTCCCTCCAGCCACAAATACTGACGCCTCCCCCGCAGCCTTTTCGGTCCACCATAGAGGGGCCTGGGCACGGCGTGGCGTGACTCTTGATGCCCTCGCTGGGCTCCCCTTCCCTCAGGCAATGTGGCTCTGCAAACACCTGAACAGCAATCTCCTCACCAGCGACAACTTGATAGAAAGAAAATCTTCCTCTGTGGCTGAGGAAGCCAGGAAGCATTACCAGAAATTCAAGGTAGGACTGGCCTGGCTGGGGGGCTGGGCAGGTGACAGCCTCCCAGCACGGTGACCCCCCGCCCCTCTGCCTGCCTGGGAGGCTCCACTTCCTTTGGGTTGATGGGGTGGGCGGGAGGCTGGGGTGAAGTGAGACCCCACCGAGCTGTGCTGAGGAACAGGGGGGCGTATGCCTGCCGGGGAGGGGCGTTTGGAGTGAGGAGGGGCCGGGCTGGCTCCTTTGCTGCTTAGTGGTCTGCATCCTGCAAATGGTGGACCTGGTGGCCTACACAGGGTCACCCAGGGCTGAGCTTGGCTGTGGGTTGAAAGGGTGTCAGCACCTCCAGCTGATGGAAAGCCCCAGAGCTGGACCCGAGGGGCATTTCCCCTGGCACATGTCCACCCTCAGGGCCGGGCAGCTCCCATCTAGTCTGTCCCTTTCACGGCCACCGTGGGCACATGCACGAGGACTAGATGTGCTGTTTCCAAGCACCACCCCACCAGCCTCATGTTTGCGGACATCTTTTCAAGGGAACCTCAGGGAGGAGAAGTTGTTTCTCTTTAATTCAAACAGAAACTCAGTCTGTCTGAGCATGAGGCCCTGCCGTCTGGCCGCTTCTCCCCGAGACTCTTCTCCTGTTTGTGAGGGGGCACGGTGAGGAGGGAGAGCAGCCTGGGGTTTCAGGGCGCTCAGTGTGGGCAGGGCTCTCCAGGCCTTCCCTTGGCCTCCTGGTCTGCCTACAGACTTAGGCCACTGCTGGACCCCTCGGCCCTTCCATGGCTTAAAATGGAACTCAGGAGCACTTGACCAGCCACGTGCTGCGGGCCAGCCAGACCCAGCCAGCTGTGACCTCACACCTGAGACAGAAGCACATGTGATGGTCGACGGCACTTTCAAGCCAAACTTGCAAACTTCAGTCAGGCGCCACGCTAAAGGACACTTGTGTCCACAGTGTCCTTCAGGTTGAGTAGCAGATGAAGACGGTTGCCAGGAATCTGACGGAAGTGGAGAGTTGAGGGCACCATGGGGTGGGGCTCTGGGTCCACCTTCCCTGGGTCCGACAGGTTCCTCCTGCCTTGTGGTCAGTTCAGCTCTGTCCAGGCCTGACCCCCAGCAGGAGAGACCTCTCGTCTCCCTGTGTCTGTCTTCATCCAATGGCAAATCCCTACCACGAGTACCTGTGGCCACTGATCCCGAAGAACTTGGAAGTGGTTTCCAGGCCTCGGGGACCACCAGTGAGTGCAGGACAGCTCTCCTGACCAGTCCCTGGCTGCAGGTGGCAGGAATGCACCCAGGCTGCTCAGAGCAGAAGGTGGACCTGAAAGGGGACGCTGACTCCTGGGACATGGCTCAGCAGCCAGGGATCACACTGGGCTTCCCTCAGCCTCTTTGGGGCGCGTCCTCTCTCACCCCGTTCTCTGCAGTCCCTCCTCCTCCTGCCTCTCCTGCCCGCTCTTACCGCTCGTGACCACCCCTCTGTCCCAGGTCCTGTGTCTTCTGGTCACACTGCCCCCAGGGGCAGTGCTGAGGCCCCATTCTCAGGAGAGGACTCTGCCGGAGCCGGCTGGTCAGTGTGCTGGGCGCAGTCGGCTGTGGCAGGTGGGGGAGAGGGCTCCGGGAGGCCCTGACGCAGGACGCCACGTGGCCCAGGTGGGGGAGGCTGTCCTTGGAGATGAGGGTGGTGCAGGCAGATCCGGGCTCGGGTGGCCTGGGACAGCAGCTTGATGGGAGGACAGGAAGACCTCACTCAGGGAGGTCGGTCACCTGCAGTGAGTCACTGTCCCCCAAGTGCCCCCACAGTCTGGGGGACAGACCTGTGGTCACAGCTTGGGGAACACCTACTCTGGGGGTAGGAGTAGGGTTTGGGAACGGGCCCCCCAGTGCCTGCTTTCCGTGTTGGGGAGGCTGCTCATCTCTAGGCTCAAGACTCCTGATTAGGTTCAAGAATTCAGCCAGGAGGAGGAAGTTCAGGGAATTCCTCCCGGGCTTCGTTACGCTAATTACCAGCCCATTTCAGACCTCATCCAGTGCTTCCTGGGATGTCTTGTTGGGGGGAAGATGAAAGCCAAGGTCGTGGCCCGTCAGGCGGCAGCCTGAGCCGCCCCCTTGCTGCGGAGGGAGGGCCGCCCATCAAAGTCCCCTTCAAACTGGCTGCTGACTTGAGTCTTTTAAGGCTCAGCTCCAGTTGCCAAGCCCCCTCTTCCCTGTGTCCTGGCTCTGCCTCCTGGTGAGCTCTCTCACGGCTGGTGCTAACCCAGACATGGCCCCTGGACTGCTGCCTCCCTGCCCTCTCAGTGCTGGGAAGATGAACTCCTCCCGCCCCCCACAGAGGCCGGCCTCCCTGGAGGCCAGCAGCGCAACACTAAGCACAAGCCAGGGCCCGAGTGCCCGCAGGCCTTCTCTCCGCCAGTCAGTCGGTGGCAGCTGGTTGGCTAATACATCTAGACTAATGCTGGACCACCTACTAAGCGCTAGGCCCTGGCTGGGGGGAGGAGGGTACAGGCTTCGAGGCAGGGTACCCTGGGGCCATGTGTCATGTGCCAAGCAAAACCTTCGCCCTGCCTCTGTGCACACACGGCTCAGTCCTCCCAAGAGTGCTGAGCAGCTCCAGGAAACAGGCCATCTGCTCGTGCTGCGGTGTCCTGTGCTGCCCTCCTGCTGCTGGCCCCCATCTCCAGCTGGCCTGCCCCTCCCTCCTGGAGGCCGAGCCGAGGTGGGCCCTGGTTCCCCTCTCCCGTCCTCCCTCCCCCCAGGCACTGGGCACTGGAGAGAGTCAGGCCTGGTGAAGGCTGGGGTGGAGGAGGGTGGCAGCAGGTGACCTGAGGACAGCTCTGTGCTCCCGGGAGCCACGCCTCTCCCCATCTGGTAGGCCCCCGCGGTGCCGCTCGCTGGTCTCGCTCGTGGCCTCTGTTGTCTTCCTTCAAAGCCTCTTCTGTCCCCTCGTCTTCTCACCCCTGTCCCTGAGATCTCCCGGATTCTAGGGACAGGTCCTGCCAGCCCCTGATCTGGCAGCTCGCGGCAGCGCGAACTTTGCAGTGAGGGGTCTCTGAGGAAGTCTCCGAGGTCCCCTGGGAGCTCAGGCTCCTCCCAAAGGAGCCTGGCAGGAGCGGGGACAGAGACCGGCACTGAGCAAAGGCCACGCCCCGTGGTGACCCAGGGACAGGGCTGGTGTTAGGCGACAGTGTGAAGAAGCCGGTTCAGGAACAGCCAGTGGCCGTGGGGCAGCACTCACCCGGGAGCCCCAGAGCCAGCGCTGAGGCGGGAGCCCAGAGGCCAGGGCACTCCTGTGACCAGGGGTGGCTTCACCAGGCTCTGTCCACTTGTCCCTCCTTCTTCCCTGAAAGCCCGGCTCTGGGGTTGGGGGAGCCACAGAGTCAGGAAGGAGGAGCCCGACTCTGAAGAGCCCGTGGCAGGCTTCAGGGAGAGCCCAAAGCCGCTGCTGACGGGACACATCAAAGCTGGCACGGAGACAGCAGAGTGGCAGGACGCGGGGGCCTGGACGCCTTGCTCAAAGCTGCGGCCTGTCCCCCGCGGTGCAGCCTGCAGGGGTGCCGCGCCCGCCCCATCTGCCGCCTTTCAACCCCGTCCTCCTTGGCACCCTCCTGCGCCCTGACTGGCGTCCCGCGTCCCTGTCCCCGTGTTGGAACGCGCCTCCTGAGCGGGTGCTGTCAGGAGGAAGACAGCCCCAGGATGGAACCTGCTCTCCTGGGGCGGGGGGAGCCCTGCGGCCCCCAGTCTTGGGGGGCTTCCCTGGACACCAGCAGAAGACCCCTCCTTGTCCCTCGACCCTCCCTGGGCCTGCGCCTTTCTCCAGGTGCCGTCCCACCACTGCCTCCTGTCTCTCGAAGGCCTGTGGGGAGAGCAGGGCCTAGTGCCCCACGGCAGAGCAGACCGCAGGCCGGGCGTGGACCTCCCACCCGGGTGTGGGGGCCGGGGCTGAAATGTCTTGGGACCCAGGTCTCGGGGGAGGGTGCAGCAGGGCCTGCTGCAGGCTGTCCCTGCTCCGCCCCCCTCCCCACCCATGTCAGTCCCCTGCCTCTGCTTTCAGGTGGTCTTCTCTGTCCGCTTCATAGAGATCTGGTGGCCCCCGACTTTCAGGCGAACACATTGCAGACCCTATTCCCAGGCGAGGTGCTCCCTCCCTCGTGCTCTTGTTGTCTGCTCTTCTTCTTTTTTCCCAACTCCACACCCTGGAGAAGCTGCTCGGGGGCTGCCTGGTTTCTCTCTTTTTCTTCACTCCCTCACAGCCCTCATGCTTGCAGAGTGGCTGCTCCGGCTCCAACTCTTACACTCTCTTCTGATCTGATGGAATAATGATTCCTGCCTCCAATTACTGCACTAATATCCTGGGCCTGGGAATGAAAATGGGTTGGGAATAGGTTGGAGGCAGCTTCTGTGAAAATCACATGCTTAGGGGTAGGATGGATCTGAATGTGAGGTTGGTCCCACCTAATTCTTATAAGTTGAGTACAAGAGGGTGACTCCTCAAAGGAAATATGGGGAAGAAATAAGAGCAAAAGCCACAACATTATTACTGATTTCTGCTGGTGAGGTAGATGAGGCCTAACGAGGTCCAGGCTTGTCCAGGGTCACCCAGCTGGCTGGAGCTGCAGCAGCCATTATGTAGCTAAGAGGGAGGAGCCTGCCCAAGGCCGAGATCAGAGAATGAGCCCTAATGCTGAAGATGAATCTCTGTCCTCTGTAACAGAGGCTGCAGCAGGAACCCCCGGTGCCCACCAGTGACCAGTGGGCCTTAGTGTGTAGAATGCCTTTTTACTTCCCCTGTCCTTAATCAGAGATGTGGTGGGGAATGGGAGGACATTTTGGCTCCTGGTGTTCACTACAGGGAGAGGTGACAAGGATTGGGCAGTGGCTGCCCTGAGCAGAGCCGCTTCCTCATCTAGTGCTGCAGGCAGGAGGGAGCAGCGCAGGTCCATCTCGGGTATGTGGGGCGGTGACGGCCACCGGGCCACCCTGACCTCGTCCTGCTATCACCTCATTTAGTCCCACGGCTGCTGAAGCGCATTCTCCTCATCTCCTTTGCGGATGAAGAGGCTGGGGCCCAGAGCACTCAAGCCCCTCGCCCAGGGTCACTCTGTGGGCAGCATCTGGGCCCACACGTGTGCAGTGCCCCTGGGGCCTCTCTGGGCTGGTCCTTCCCTGCTCTGCCCTCTCTGCTCCCCTGGCAGCCTCCTCCTAGTGGAGTCCTGCACTGGACCCTTCAGCCCTCCTGTCCGGCACCTGGCCAGCCCTGTGGCCAGTTCCCCTGATGCCTATCCCCAGGACAGCCCTGGCTCCACCCTCAGGTGTCCCGTCCAGCCTGCTCTTGTCGGGAACCTGTGCCCGTAGCTCCGTGGGCAGCCCCCGCCCGCCCCCCTGCTGTGCGCACGCGGGTGCCCCCGCTGTCCAGGGCTCGCCTTCATCTGTGCCAGCGTGAGCCCAGCCCGGCCTGTCCCCTTGCTGGGGCGGGACGAGGTGCGCCTCAGGCGGGAGGCCTGCTCCCCACCGCACAAAGCACTCACAGAGGCTGCCATGGGCGCGGACCCTTGGCGGCACCTTTTCTGTGTCACAGCCTGCTTGAGGAGCCCTGGGACATGTCAGCTCTGTCCCCTGAGGTGCTCTTCACAGCACCTGGGGGCAGGACCTGGCCACTGTGACCCCTTACACATGGCTTCCCAAGTCGAAGGCCCGGCCTCTCCTCCCACGTCGTGTCAGTGCTGCGGGGGGCCAGAGCCTGGGGACACTGGGAGCTGGTCGGGGCTCCTCTGCGAGCCGAGCACCGTCCCCGGCTTGGTGGAAAGGGCACGAGGCAGCTCTGCCTGCACCTCAGCCAGGCGCCCCCGTGGGCCTCAGCAGCACCTGGGGACAGGGTGGCCCCATGTAGCTGGGGGTGTGGGCTGGGCTGGCCTGGAGGCTCCTGTGTGGCGCCTGGGAGATGCGCCAGCTCTCAGGGACCTTGGGCAGAGGGACTCTGGGGAGGGGTGGGCTGTGGGCGTCCGAGGCTTCGTGAGTTCAGCTCTGACGTGGCTGTGAACCCGACCTGGGCCCTGCTGAAGAGGGAGCGCGGAGAGAGACCGCCCAGGGAGGCCGGCCCCGCCTTCCTGCCCGGCCCATCCGCTGCCCTGTTGGTCCTGCTGGGCTGAGTGGGCGGGCAGAGGGCCCCGTGCTTCAAAGACGGCGCTGGCTAGACGTCTTGGCTTCCAGCCCTGCTCTGCCCGCTTGACTGTGTCACCCTGGGGACAGGCCTTGACTCCCCCCCAGCCCAGCTCCCTCCTCTCTAAAAAAGGGATAAGGACAGTGCGGCTTGAACAGGGTCATGGGCAACCACGCCGTCCCTGCTCGCCACACGGACGAGGGATTTGAAGCTTCGCGCTCTCATCTGTCAGCTGGGCCCTGGGACGGTGGTGGGTTGGCCGGTACCTAGCCGCCACTTCTCTGGGGAAGCCCCTCTCCACAGCTCCTGACCACTCTGTGACGTGACACCACCTATGGCCAGTGTGCCGTTGCCATGGGTAGTCACCAAATGTGCAGCTGGGAGGAGACACGTGCTCTTCTCACGAGCCTGGGCCCCTTCCTGCCACCCTGTGAGGGCACCGAGCAGTGAGAGCTGCCCTCTCCTTGCGAGCTCTGCCCTGTACTGGGGACGCGGACGCACGGCCACGTGGTTAGTGCGCAAGGAGATCCTGGGGCCAAGGGGCAGCGGGCGGCCCTGCAGGCCAGGCTTGGGGGGCCTGGGGTGGCCGGCGGAGCTGCCTCGGGCGCTGACAGGCACTGGATGGGCCAGGTGCCGGCGGCTGAGGCAGGAGGGCTGCCGGGTGCTGCCAGTGTGGCTCTTCCTCACCGTGACCCTCAGGCGGTCCTCTTCCCTCTAGAGCGTCCCCGGCCCGCTGCTCATCAAGCTGATCCAGCAGCGCCTGACGGACGAGGACTGCGTCAAGAAGGTGAGACCGCTGTGTGGCCCCTGTTGGGGGCTCTGCTGTCAGGACAGAGGGAGGGGACGTGTTCATCTCCAGGGGCAGGGATGGCCAGACCCGAGGAGAGGGCCGTCTGTGGGTGTGTCCTTCCCTGTGGCTTGCCATGGGGACTGGAGGCCGGCGGCTCCCACCAGGGCCCCTGAAGGAAAGGCCTGGCCCAGTTGGGGGGTCCTGGGGGAGAGTCCAGGCAGGGACCATTGCCAAAGCGTGCATGTGGCGGGAGGGGAAGGACAACCAGCACATGTCAGCGCCCAGGGTCTAGCTGCAGCCGGAAGCCCTTACATTTTGCCTTAGTTTCTTCAAATAATTCCCGGCACCGTTTCAGAAGAGCCTGGGCCCGGTGAGGAGTGGCCCCAAGGTGCCCTGGGACCGAGAAAGGGGCAGGCAGGTCCCAGCCTGCACAGTGCCACTCATGGAAATCTGGGGACAGAAGACTGTCCTGGGGTGGGGGGCAGCAGGATGGGGCATCCCTACCCCTGAGGGAGGAGGAAGGGGTTTAGTCAGCTGGCCGAGGCGGGCAGCAGCTGCAGCGGACCTGGCTTTCTCAAAAGCCACTCAGGCGTCCGACACCAGTCAGTCCGCTGCCCAGGCCTCTCTTAAGGCCCCTGTCCCACAGGGCCTGGGACGTGTGTCCCAGCCACCTGGGGGAAAGCGGTACTTCTGACCAGGATGGCCGCAGTCCTGTCAGCTGAACCCCAGGGCTCTGTGCTCCTCTCCTGGCCCCAGGAGGGCTGCGCTGTCCCCCAGGACCCTGGGCCTGGGCTCACCTTGTTTTCCTTTTTCTTTCTCTGGGTTCTCAGATCTGCCTGGTCCCCGGACTCCCTCCTCCCCTGGGTCCCTTCCTTGAGCCATCCAGAGAGTCCTGCTGCTCTCGGGTCTGAGGTGGCTTGGGCCTCTGGGTCTCTGCTTTTCCCTCCCTGGCCAGGAGGGACTTCCCAGTCACAGCTGCGGTGGGGCCTCTGAGCGGGACGTCTTGGGTGGGGGCGGCCGCGCCAGCACAGGGCCAGGCCGGAAGTTCACCTCCGTCAGGGCGGTTTGCCCCCAGGTCCGCGTGCTGCGAGCTGGATCTGGGGTGGTGCTGAGTGGGAAGTGGCAGGCGTCCGTCCCCGGGGAGTGGAGGCACTGTCGGCGGGACCAGCCGTTTCTCCGGAGACCCTGGTTAGTCGTTGAGAGGGCCAGGCCTGGCCCCCGCCTCCAGGCCTTCGGTTTCAAGATGGACCTTTCTCCAGGGGCCATTGCCCCCGCAGTGGGAAGGGATGCAGAGACCTGTGGGGGCTCAGCAGGGCCCGTGCTAGGCTGTGAGTCGGACAGCACTTCCACTGTCGTAATAGAACAAAAATGGACTAGCACGGTGGCTCCCCCCACGCCCCCCCCCATCTCCCCAGCAGCTTCTAGTTCCCTGGGCGCCCCCTGTTGGTCTTCTGGCCAGAAAGCCGAGCGTGTACTTGCCCTGCTCTGTGCGCGCTGCTGTGACTGCTCCCATGTTTGGCCAGGGGCCATGGCTGGCCAGTACGTCCCCATGATATGAAATGGCCCTGTGCTTTCGCTTCAGCCCTGGATAAGAAGCACCTGCTGCCTCCAGGGCGGTGGAGGAGGGTCAGCCTGGCCACCTGCATCTTACCCAGCTGCTCCCGCCCCAGCTCCGTTCTGCAGAGCCCTCGGGGCTCCCGGTCCCTGGCTGCCCAGACTCTGGCGCCAGCCACCTCCCAGCCGCCCACTCTAGCAGGGGCATTGGTGCACCTTGGCTCCTCAGCAGCGGGAGGCGGTGTCACTTGACCAAAGTGAGGCTGACAGTGAGAAGGGTGGGGATGGGGACACCACTGTGGAAGACCAGGACCCCCTCTAGAGCTGGGACTGTGGAGGGGCCATCCCAGCTTGGGAGACTGGCCGAGGACCGAGGCAGGGCCAAAACCCAGCTCACCCACCTCCACTCAGGCCAGCCAGCCTCAGGGAACACTCTTTAAACTTGACCCTTCATCCTTCACCCTTGAAAAGGCCTCCTGTCTTCTATCTGGGAAGTGCCCGTCTGTCGGGTAATAAAGGGGGAGGAGCATCCTCTGGGATTAATGAAGGGGGAGGAGCATCCTCTGGGATGGGAAGGGGGCCGCGCTTTCCACACACAGTGCTTGGCGCCCTCACCTGGCTGCCCTTGAGCTTGCCTGGTGGAGGGTGGTGGGGGCCTGGCAGCAGGCTGGAGCCTCAGCACCGAGCTTTCCCCTCTTCATCGCCTCTGGCCAGACGGCCACCAGGGTTGCTCCGCTGGCACAAAAGTGAGCCGCCTGGGACTGGAATCCCTCCTTAAGCTGGGGACTGTGTTTAAAGCACAGTGGGTGGGGCCTAGTTTGGTGTTAGAGAGTACCTAGCATGCACCAGGCCCCGAGTTTAGTCCCAAGCACCCAGAAAACCAGATGATAAGAGCACAGCAGGCCAGTCGTGCACACCAGGCAGAATTTCCGATTCCTTGTGCCCAGAGCTTCGGGACCAGGACTATCAGCTTGATTGATGCTGGTTCTGGGCACAGGGGCAGCGAGTGATCCTGCCATTCCTGGCCCCAGAGACTGCACTTGTCCTGAGCCACTCACCAACCACCCTCACCAGCTCTGTCAAGCAGGAGTCCAGTGGAGCTGGTGCTACAGTCTGTCTCCAGCTTAGCAAGGACAGTGGGACCTCCCCATGCCTATTGTAGAAGACCCCCCTTTCCTTTTCAGAGTGTCTTTTGTTTGGGTACTGGGAATTGACCCAGGGGTGCTTAAACACTGAGCCACATCCCCAGCCCTTTTTTTAAAAAATATTTTTTGGGTTGTCAATGGACTTTTATTTATATTTATTTATGTGCAGTGCTGAGAAGTGCTCAGTGCTCATACATGCTAGGCAAGCACTCTCCCACTGAGCCCAAACCCCAGCCCTCACCAACCCTTTTTTATATTTTATTTACAGATAGGGTCTTGCTAAGTTGCTTAGGGCCTCACTAAGTTGCTGAGGCTGACCTTGAACTCATGATCCTCCTGCCTCAGCCTCTTGAGCTGCTGCTGGGATCAGATTCCCTTGAAGGTGCTGAGAAGCCCAGACCTCCAGTGACGCAGGATCCCAGTGGGAACTGCGATGACCCAGCTGCTCCTCTCCAGGGGCCCCACAGTTGACGGTGCTTCGACTCTCTGCCCTGGTGCCACAGAAGCTAGCAACGGGAGTCCACATCCCAAGTCCTTGCCAATGGCCACTACTGTCACCAAATGATGGTAGCATCTACTGTTACTATAATAATGCTCTAATTTGTATTGACTTATACCGCATATGACCACCTGTCTTATAACTCATTGTCGACGACATTAATGTGTAATGTTCACTGTCACAACCAGCATTGAGGTGGCAGTGGGGCTGTCGGGAGGCCTGGTCTGGCCCTACTGCCAGGTCCCATGGCAGGCTCACCTCACACTGTGCAGAAAGACCGTGGCTGTACACGGATCAGAGTGTAGCATGAATGGCCAGGTCTCCACCCGCCTTCCAGCAGCCCTGTGGAGGCCACACTGCGGCTCCCCATCTCGCAGGTGCAGAGGCCACCACGGCAGAGGGAGTCCCAGAACCAAGGTGCAAATACAGTGGTGTTCCTGCTGCCGGGGCCTGATCTTGGGGCTCCACCGGGAAGCTGCGCTCCCTGAGCCCCTTCCCCCATGTGCAGAACAGTGGGTCAGGCTTGCGCACAGAAGTCCCTCCCAGGCCTGTGATTCTGATCATGTCCAAGCCATTGTTACCTGCAGAGTAAAGAAACATCTCCTTCGATTTGTCTTAAAATTTCTTCTAACCTTCATGGGGCACCCAGAACCTTTTTCATCTCTTCCCAGTGGAGACAGGAGTGAGAGGTGAGGCTTCTAATTATGTGCTTTGGTTGTTCAAAAGCAAAACAAACCCTCATCCAAAACAAACAGGCTTTCTTGCTTTTAGGGAGAAAATGACATATATGCATATTCATTTATATGGTAATTAATATTATTTAGCTTCACAGGGACCAGAATTGGTAATTTAGAGCACAGAAGAATACAGGGAATTGTGTTCAGGAGAGAAAGATGCAGCCGCCGCCCACCAGGACTCTGGTTCAACGCTGGGTTTTCATTTCTTTTTCTTTTTGGTCTAATGCAATCTCTTTGAAGATTTTTTTAAGTGACCATCAAATGAGTAAAAGAAACAAAAATGAGTAGTTTGTATTAGAACCATCAGAAGGCAGTGACTCTGTGGGAGACCCATGAGCTACTCCTCTGGACAGTCCAGTTCTTGAGGTCAGAATGTGTCCAGGTCTGCAGGGCACAGTTTTTGGACAAAGCTGAGCTGAGACATAGGCAGTGAGTTTGGAAATGTGGGGTCAGGTCAGTTCCAAAGGGATCCTCACCTTTGCCTTGACCATGGTCATTGTTTGTGCTGTTTTATCTGAAATACTAAAGAATCTCTTTGCTTTATTTGGTTCCTGGTCTGCCTCCTGCCTCTGTCCTGGGTTCTTCCCAGTCCTTTCCCTGTTGTCCCTGAGAGATCACTTTAAAAATAGGAATGATTTTATTTCTTGGCCACAACGTATCTGTCCATGTGGGTGCAAATTCGTGTAAGGTCCAGAGCCCCTGGCTGCTGCCATCAGCCACCAGTTTCCTTCCCTGCAGGTGGCTGCTGTTAGTGCTCTCTGGGAAGCACATCCTTGGGAAATTGTCCTCTGTGCACAGCAGTTGTCCTTTACTAAGTGGTGTGACCGGGGCCTTCCACTGCTCCTGTCCCTCTTGTGGGCATCCCTAGAGCTGAGGGGCCTGGACCTGCCTTTGGCTCAGCCCCACCCCCCCTCCTCTCTCACCCACCTCTGGGCACACAGCTCCTTCAGGCCTCCAGCTCAGCCGGCCTGCCCTGCTCAGGGCCTTGGTACACTGTAGCAAGCCCCCAGGGGACTCCTGTCCATTTCCCACCTCCCAGCGTCCACACCTTGTGCAACCCCC